CCCCCCGGCCCGGCTCAGTCTCCTCGGGAAGCAGCGGCGGCGCCTCTCCGAAATCCCATAAATAGATGGTTAACAGATTATCCGCCCGCCTTTCACCGAGTCCGGCTCGGGGAGGTTTGGCCGGCGGGGCCGGGCCGGGCCGGCTCCCACAAGCTCCCCTAATTAAGGCCGGCGGCAGAAGCCACCGGCTGCTTTCCGCCGCGGGGGACGGGGCCCCGATCCTGCCGCCCGGCGCGCCAGAGAGCGAATCTCACCACGGGGGCGGGGGGGGCGGCTTGGGAAGAGCCTGGAGGGCCGAGCCCGAGCCCGGGGCAGGCAGCAGACCCTCCTGGGGTCCCTGGGGTGCCCGCCCGACTCGGAGGGTGCAGGGGGTCTTCGGGCCCTTGGGCTGGACCGTCCTGTCCGGGGGGTGGGGGCGTCCCGGGGGAGGCTGTCCGGGGGCACCTGGCCCCACCGAGAGCCTCATCCGGCTAGTCCTGGCTGGCTGCGGAAGAGGCGGCTGAGCCCCCCAGGGCCCGAATCCGTGGGTCTGGGACCGCCACTGCGCAGGCCCCCCCATCCATCCATCCATCTACCCCCCCAGAGCCCCCCGGTGGTGAGGCGGACGGGCAACCTGTAGCGAGGGGGCGCAGGCAAGCGCTCGCCTCCCTCCGGGCGCTCTCTGCCCCTTGCCCCGCGAGGGGGGCGTGCGCGTGTGGGGGCGAGCGCGTGTTCCTTCGCCCCGCGGGGATCCGTCCTGATCCGGCTGTCTGGCCTGTAATCCCCTCCGCGGGTAATGAGGAGCAAAGCCGGCATTACACGCGGAGCGGCGTCCGGGCCAATGTAATCAATTCGGCAGCGGCTTAACCATCTGCTAAAGGTTAAGTCCCCGCGCCGGGTCTGGGGAGGGGGGGAGAACGCGGGACGGCCCTCCAGCCAGGGTTGGCAACGGACCCCGGCGCGGGGAGGGACTCCGCTTCCCCCCCACCCCACCTCCAGAGGGATGGATGGCACCGGTCTTTCCCGGCGGGGGAGGCGAGCGGGGGCTGCGGCTGGCCAGCGAGCGCCTCCCGCGCCGTCACAGCCCATTTCCTCGCTGGGGGAGCGCAGAGAGAGAGAGAGAAGAAGAGAGAGAGAGAGAGAGGGAGAGAAGAGAGAGAAAAGGAGAGAGAGAGAGAAGAGAGAGAGAAGGAGAGAGAGAGAGAGAAGAGAGAGACGCTCCTGGCGCGGCGGCGGAGAAGAGCGGCGCGCCCCTCTGCCCGGCCGAGGAGCCGACCTTTCGCGGCGGCGGAGGAAGAACCGCGCTCTCCCGGCACAGCGCCGCTGCCCGCCCGCCCCCTCCTGCTTCTCCTGCTCCTCCTGGGCTCCGGCGGCGAAGAGGTTAAGCGCTCCGCCAGCCCCCCTTCGCCGCTCGCTCTCTCGCTCGCTCGGTGGCTGCCTGGCTGCCTGGCTGTGGCTCGCCTCCGCTGCCGGGGCTCGGGCTCGACGGCGCTGTCCACCAATGCGGTGCTGAAATGGCGCGCCGCGGCGCCTCCCCCGGCGGCTCCCCCTGCCCGCCGACAGTCGCGGCGCGTCCCGGCCGGCGGCCGCTGAAGAGG